TTATATGCTGGATGAACTTTAGCATTTTCAGTTTATCCGGAAAGCCACCACTAGTGAAGGAGGAGTTACAAATGTGTAGGAGAACAGGTAGTAATAAGTGGGCTACTTTCTTAATGATGCTCACTAGTATATTGTCTTCGCCTGCTGCTGCATCTTTGGATATTTTTATGATGGCCAGTAATTCTTCTGCTGTGACGGGGGATAAGAACAGCTCATTTTACTGTCTGTTTTGCAGGTAGGCTCTAAATTCCTCATGGTGATCAAGGATGCTCTCTGCAAGATTTTTGCCAACATTAATAAAATATTCATTGAAGTGGTTGGCAATGGGGGAGGGTTCCGTTACAACTGAATTATTTATCATAAAAGCTGAGTGGGGGGCCGAAGGCTGAGTGTTCCTGTTCTGAATAGAATTTATGACACTCCAGGTTTTCTTACTGTCGCCTGATGCTGACTGGTGGTTAGTTCCCAGGGGTGCTTATCTCACTGGTGGGTCGCGGCTTTCACTGGTACCGTCTAGTGCTGAATTCACTGGCATAAACACTGTTCATCACTGTTCAATACTGATCCCACTTCATTCCGAAACGAAATTGTCACTTTGATTATGTTGATATCCCGGTGGTGAGGATGGGTCGGGGAGAGGGACTTGGGGAATGGGCCGACATAGACCAAGGGGGGGGGGCAGCTGAGTTGCGGGAGCAGCATTTGTTAGTATCGTCGTCATCTTCTTCATCATCATCATCATCATCATCATCATCATCATCATCATCATCATCGGTTAATAATTATGTACTAAAGATGCTGCTCTGTTGGTTGGCTGAATAAGATTAAGTTAGTATTGGTTATATCGGGGTTAAATTAGTCTCTTTAAGTTGGTGAGATAAAGTTAGATTAAGTTAGTTGGGAGTCTCTTTAATCTGGGGTCCATTAAATTTTGGGCCCCTCAAATCTGGGGCCCATTAGGTTTAGGGCCCATTAAGTTTTTTGTCTGTTAAGTGTGGGGGGTCATTAGGACTGAGTGCCCATTACATCTGAGGGTCTATTAGGACTGAGTGCCCATTACATCTGAGGGCTTATTAAGACTGAGTGCCCATTAGATGTGAGGGCTTATTAAGACTAAGTACCCATTCGATCTGAGGGCCTATTAGATCTGGGGGCCTATTAGGACTGAGGGCCCATTAGATCTGAGGGCCTATTAGGACTGAGTGCCCATTACATCTGAGGGCCCATTAGGACTGAGGGCCTATTAGATCTGAAGGCCTATTAGGACTGAGGGCCCATTAGATCTGAGGGCCCATTAGATCTGAGGGCCCATTAGATCTGAGGCCCGTTAGATCTGAGGGCCTATTAGGACTGAGGGCCCATTAGATCTGAGGGCCCATTAGATCTGAGGGCCTTGTTGGACTGAGGGCCCATTAGATCTGAGGACCTATTAGGACTGAGTGCCCATTAGATCTGAGGGCCCTATTAGGACTGAGGGCCCATTAGATCTTAGAGCCTATGAGGACTGAGGGCCCATTAGATCTGAGGGCCTATTAGGACTGAGTGCCCATTAGATCCGAGGGCCTATTAGGGGACTGAGGGCCCATTAGATCTGAGGCCTATTAGGACTGAGTGCCCATAGATCTGGAGGGCCTATAGACTGAGAGGGCCCATTAGATCTGGAGGGCCTATTAGGACTGAGTGCCCATTAGATCTGAGGGCCTATAGGGACTGAGTGCCCATTAGATTAGGGGCGTATTTCAACAAGAGGGTTTCGACACGAGGTTTTTGAGCGAGACGCAGCCAGGGTTAGATCAACTCGACCAAGTTAGGTTGTGGTTAACGAGGTGGTCGGCCGGTGCCAACTGTCTTGTGCCATTACATGATGCCAGAACCTCCGGGGGAATTTTGTTGTCCTGTGGCCAAGTCTTCAATATTATATATATTTCTCTATACTTGTATGTATACTTCCTTAAATAAAGTATATGTGCATATCTCTCTCTTTAGTAATCGTAATAATCACATGTATGTATGTATGTATGTATGTATGTATGTATGTATGTATGTATGTACCTCGCTCTCCGTGCCAATATTAGCCTGACAGTGGGTGATATGGTGGCGATGATAATCAGGTGATGTTAGTAAAGGAGGGAGGCGGGTGGGAGGAGGAGGGGGGTGATGTGGGCACGTGTTGTGGGTGGTGGGGGTGGTGAGGAGGAGGGAGGTGGTGGGGGTGGGTGAGAGGGGGGGGGCAGGTGGTGGGGGTGGGTGAGAGGGGGGGCAGGTGGTGGGTGGTGAGGAGGGGCAGGGGGTGGTGGGGGGTGGTGGAGAGGGGGGGGCAGGTGGTGGGGTGGTGGGAGAGGGGGCAGGTGGTGGGTGGTGAGGGGGGGCAGGTGGTGGGGTGGTGAGAGGAGGGGCAGGTGGTGGGGGTGTGGTTGGGGGTGTAAGTCATGATCATATTCTAGTGTGTAGTGGTGGTGCTTTTGGGGTAGTGTAAAGGTGTCCAAGCTGGTAGACGGCCAGGGTGTGTCAAGAGGTGTAGGATGTGTCAATGAGGTGCAGGGTGTGTCAGGGGGTGTAGGGTGTCAAGGGGTGTAGGATGTGTCAGGCGGGCGTAGGATGTGTCAATGAGGCAGGGTGCAGGGGGTGTAGGGGTGTAGGCTGTGTCAAGGGGTGTAGGCTGTGTCAAGGGGTGTAGGATGTGTCAATGAGGTGCAGGTGTGTCAGGGGTGTAGGCTGTGTCAAGGGGGTGTAGGATGTGTCAATGAGGTGCAGGGTGTGTCAGGGGGGTGGCTGTGTCAAGGGGTGTAGGATGTGCCAAGGAGGTGTAGGATGTCAGTGTAGGATGTGCCAAGGAGGTGTAGGATGTGTCAGAGGGGTGTAGGATGTGCCAAGGAGGTGTAGGATGTGCCAAGGAGGTGTAGAGTGTGTCAGGGGTGGGCTGTGTCAAGGGGTGGATGTGTCAATGAGGTGCAGGGTGTGTCAGGGGTGTAGGCTGTCAAGGTGTAGGCTGTGTAAGGGGTGTAGGATGTCAATGAGGTGCAGGGTGTGTCAGGGGTGTAGGCTGTGTAAGGGGTGTAGGATGTGCCAAGGAGGTGTAGGATGTGTCAGGGGTGTAGGATGTGCCAAGGAGGTGTAGGATGTGCAGGGGTGTAGGATGTGTCAATGAGGTGCAGGTGTGTCAGGGGGGTGGCTGTGCCAAGGAGGTGTAGGATGTGTCAGGGGTGTAGGATGTGCCAAGGAGGTGTAGGCTGTGTCGGGGTGTAGGATGTCAATGAGGTGCAGGGTGTGTGTCAGGGGGTGGCTGTGGCCAAGGGTGTAGGATGCCAAGGAGGTGTAGAGGTGTCAAGGGGTGTAGGGTGTGTCAAGGAGGTGTAGAGTGTGTCAAGGGGTGTAGGGTGTGTCAAGGAGGTGTAGGGTGTGTCAAGGAGGTGTAGGATGTGTCAGAGGGTGGTGGATGTGCCAAGAGGTGTAGAGGTGTCAAGGGTGTAGGGTGTGTAAGGAGGTGTAGGGTGTGTCAAGGAGGTGTAGGGTGTGTTAGGAGATGTGGGTTTGTCAGTGAGGTGTAGGTGTGTCGGAGGGAGATGAGTCAAGGGGTGTAGGATGTGCCAAAGAGGTGTAGGGTGTGTCAAGGAGATGTAGGAATCAAGGTGGTGTAGGGTGTGTTAAGGAGGTGTACGGTTTGTCAATGAGGTGTAGGGTGTGTCTGGGATGGGTAAGATGTGTCAAGGGGGTGTAGGGTTTGTCATTGAGGTGTAGGGTGTGTTAGAGGGGTAAGATGTGTCAAGGGGGTGTAGGGTTTGTCAAGGAAGTGTAGGATGTCCAAGGAAGTGTAGGATGTGTCAAGGGGTACAGGTAATGCAGGATGTATGTATGAATGTCACATCCTCACACTTCGAACTAGACAAATATTAATGACAAACTAAGAGATGTGTCAAGGAGGTGTAGGATGTGTCAAGGAGATGTAGGGCGTATCAAGAAGATGTAGGGCGTATCAAGGAGGTGTAGGGTGTGTCAAGGAGAAGCTGATGCCCCACCCTCGCCATGTTGCTGGTGGCCTTGGCAGGGTGACACACACACACACGGAGGTCTTACAGCGTGTGATCTTGACCTTAGTATGGCTGAACTGCACGTACAATGGTAGAGTAGTGATGCACGGGAACTGCACGTACAATGGTAGAGTAGTGATGCACGGGAACTGCACGTACAATGGTAGAGTAGTGATGCACGGACACACAGACGCACCGACATCCAGGGTATTTAAACATTGAACCATCGACGGACACAAAAGAGCGACAGACAACCCGGAAACACACTCTCCCGCCGGCCATGCCAAGCGGTGCATAAAAAAGTTGCCTGTTAAAGTTGGAGATCACCAGAAGCGGTTCGTGGCGGTTCTCACATAGTACAAGTTGTTAAGACTATTTCTGGCGTCTTCTCCCTCCCTTCCCCCGCCCCCCCCTTCCTCCCGCCCCCCTTCCTCCTCCCTCCCCCTCCGTCACCCATTCCCCCTCCCCCTTTCTTCCCCTCCCTTTCTTCCACCCTCATCCTTTTCCTCCCTTTTCTCCCCTTTCCTCCCTCCTCCCCATCCCCTCCCCTCACCCTTTCCTCCCTTCCCACCCCCTTCCCTCCCCTCCCACCTTCCCTCTCTCCCCTCATCCTTTTCCTCCTCCCCTCCTTCCCTCCCTCCCTTCCTCTCCTCCTTTCCCTTCTCCCCTCCTCCTCCCCCCCCGTCACCCCCCTCCCCCCAGCCCAGCGACACCTTCACACCTGTGGACGGCACCAGCTGACTCACCACTTCACCCCGACACTTGTGGCAACTTGAACACTACACACACCTATCCTTAAACTCACTATATGAAAACAACTTTGATTTACTGCCTCATATAAACCTAACTCCACTCATGCTTCTAGACTACATTCCTACAAATATATAATTAACAGGCGTTCCGGTTGCATTACATTATATTATAAAAGGGTTGTGTTGTGGTTGATATTAATTTGGTGTTATGGTGTTCCAGGGATCCCGTTAGCCAGCATGAGGTACCCGACCATCCTTCCTGGCCAGTATGGGTGAGTACTGTGTTGATGACGATAATAATAATAATTCCCATACAAGAAATTAATTATTATTTATTATTATTATTGTTGTTGTTGTTGTCATTATTATTATTATACTGTATGTATTGTATTTTATTTTAATTATTATTATTAGTGTTGTGTTATTATTATTATTATTATTATTATTATTGTTTTGTTGTTTGTTTTATTATATGCCGTAAATTCTTAACACACACACACACACACACACACACACACACAGCTTTAGTTAACGCTTTTATGATAGCTCGTTAGCTTCGAAGCTTTTCAAGTTTATGTTAAATGAAGCTGTGAAGCCTTATGTTTAAGTTGAGATTACGTGTAAAGTTTTTAAATCATTTTTCTTCAACTATCGTCGTATCTCTAAAATGTTGGGATCCTCAGGTGTTTAATATGTTGGATAGTATTTATAAAGCTTCCATGGTTTGAAGCTTCGAGAATTAAGCGACTTATTCACAGAGTATTGTTATTCCTTTATATCTAATACATTAAAGTGGCATTGTATTTACGATTTTTGTAAGCCGTGAGTTTAATTGATAATGAATTAATTGAAACTCCGATGATACGCTAATTTTCTGTATGTTACAAGTCAAGGATTTTATTGACGTGAGTGACAACTTGGAGAGAGAGAGAGAGACTTTTGGTGGTGAGGGGAATATGAGGGTGGGTTAGTTAGGTGTGGCGTCAGTTGATGGTCCTCCTGCGGCGTCCACACCTGCCTTACACACCTGTCTATACCTGCCTTACGCACCTGTCTCTACCTGCATTACACACGTCATTACTGGCCTCTCATATATGCTAGTGTGTGTTGTTGTTGTGTGTGTGACTTTTGAACAGAATTAGAAAACCATCGAATGACACAGAAAAGGTTATAAGAGATGCTTTGATGAGAAGGATTTGATCTGTGAACCAACAGGTGTGCAGGAGGAGGTATACAGCGCCACGAGCCACAGCTGTTATCTCTCGCTCACCTGTTGCTTACCACCTGTGTGGCGCCGTGTAGTCATGAGTGTCCAGTTGGCCATGTGGCCTTGTATGTCCTGTTGGCCATGTACCCAAGTGTCCAGCTGGCCATATGGTCCTGTATGTCTGTGGCCATGTAGTGTCAGCTGGTATGGTCCTATCCTGTTGGCATGTGCTCCCATGTCCAGCTGGCCATATGGTCCTGTATGTCCTGTTGGCCATGTACTCTAAGTGTCCAGCTGGCCATATGGTCCTGTATGTCCTGTTGGCCATGTACTCTAATGTCAGTTGGCCATATGGTCCTGTATATCCTGTTGGCCATGTACTCTAGTGTCCAGCTGGCCATATGGTCCTGTATGCCTGTTGTGCTCTGGTCCAGCTGGCCATATGGTCCTGTTGTCCTGTTGGCCATGTACTCTAGTGTCCAGCTGGCCATATGGTCCTGTATATCCTGTTGCCATGTACCAAGTGTCCAGCTGGCCATATGGTCCTGTATATCCTGTTGGCCATGTGCTCTAGTGTCCAGCTGGCATATGGTCCTGTATATCCTGTTGGCCATGTACCCAAGTGTCCAGCTGGCCATATGGTCCTGTATCCTGTTGGCCATGTGTCTAGTGTCCAGCTGGCCATATGGTCCTGTATATCCTGTTGGCCATGTACTCCAGTGTCCAGCTGGCCATATGGTCCTGTATATCCTGTTGGCCATGTACTCTAGTGTCCAGCTGGCCATATGGTCCTGTATATCCTGTTGGCCATGTGCCCCTGTGTACTCCTGGTTATGTTCTGTCCTGTTATGTGGCCTAGGTCTGTTGGCCATGTAGCCCTGAGTATTTTGTTGGCCATGAAGATAATGTCCTCCTGCCCATGAAGACTCATTGAAGCCTCTCTGGTCCGCCATCTTGTAGACGTTAGCCTCTCTCACGTTCTTAAAATGGCCGACTCATCTAACTACCAGAGCTACCATACCTGTGATATCGGTGGTTCTACAGTAGTAATAGAAGTAGTAGTAGTAGTAGTAGTAGTAGTAGTAGTAGTAACATTGGCTAGGTAGTCGTGAACTTTTGGCCACATACACAGAGGATGTTCCACCCTCAAGAACCAGTGTTGAGTCGTTCGCTGGCTGGTGTTTGGTCCCCTCTGGTGCACCTTACCTAAGACTGCTGCTGCTCACGTGGCTGTTACTGTTGTTGTTGTTGCATGTTACTGCTGTTGTTGCATGTTACTGTTGTTGCATGTTACTGTTGCTGCTGAATGTTACTGTTGCTGCTGCATGTTACTGTTGTTTTTCTGCATGTTACTGTTACTGTTGTTACTGCATGTTGCTGTTCCTTCGTTATTACTGTTACTACCGTTTCTTCATGGTAGTAGTAATTGCGGATAATGGTGGTAGTTGTGGATGGAGTAGGTCGTAATGGTAGACGATGATTGGTGATAATGGTGGTAGGCGAGGGTTGGTGGTTGTGGTGGTAGGCGAGGGTTGGTATGTAGTGGTTGTAGTAGTGGTGGTAGGTCGTGACTAGGATTGGGTCAAGAGGATGATGTGAGTTACACCAACGACGATCTTCAGGCCACCGAGTCATGGTGGCCAGACCTATGTCACGGCTCTCTCTCTCTCTCTGTGCATATTTACTAACAATTTAACTGCCAATGATACTGTGATCGAGGCCTTTATATACGTCCGGTGAGTGAGAGCTAAAGTCCGGCGGTCTTATTTTCAAGTCCATTACCATCGTGTGTGTGTGTGTGTGTGTGTGTGTGTGTGTGTGTGTGTGTGTGTGTGTGTGTGTGTGTGTGTTTAATCGATCTATATAATCCATATTTTTGTCTGTTTGTATAACTTTATGATATATATATATATTTAAAACGATGTTGCTGAATAAGTGGTACTACAACACATATTGCGATTAGGTTAAGTTAGGTTATAAACTAAAGGTTGAATTAGATGATATTGAAATGAAACTAGGTTAGGTTTAATTTGGTTAGAGTTAGATTAAGTTAGGTTCATATAATATAAAGTTAGGTTTGGTTAGATTAGGTTAGTTTATGTATATATTAGGTAAAGTTAATTTAGTTTTAGTATAGATTAAGGTAAGTATAGTTTAGGTTAGGTTAGTTTTGGTGTTGTTAGGTTAGGTTACGTATTGGTTAGGTTAGGTTGATCACATGATGGAAATTAAGGTGGCAGGGAGTAAGGGAGAAGCAGCAGTGTTGGCAATAGTAGTTGTGTGGATGTTGACTGCGTGCCAGGGATCAGTGTGTGTGTGTGTGTGTGTGTGTGTGTGTGTGTGTGTGTGTGTGTGTGTTAGTAGAGTCTCACAACGTCCATCTCATACAGTAGACGACGCTGAATTCCAATGGCCATCGTGAACGCTAAAACACACCGTCAACATTCAATGCAACGGGGGAACACTGGGCTAACATTCACAGCTGTAGATCCACATAACTAACATTCACAGCAGTAGATCCACATAACTAACATTCACAGCAGTAGATCCACATAACTAACATTCATTAAGCAGTAGATCCACATAACTAACATTCACAGCAGTAGATCCACATAACTAACATTCACAGCAGTAGATCCACATAACTAACATTCACAGCAGTAGATCCACATAACTAACATTCACAGCAGTAGATCCACATAACTAACATTCACAGCAGTAGATCCACATAACTAACATTCACAGCAGTAGATCCACATAACTAACATTCACAGCAGTAGATCCACATAACTAACATTCACAGCTGTAGATCCACGTAACTAACATTCACAGCAGTAGATCCACATTACTAACATTCACAGCAGATCCTCATAACTAACATTCACAGCAGTAGATCCATATAACTAACATTCAGCAGTAGATCCACATAACTAACATTCACAGCAGTAGATCCACATTACTAACATTCACAGCTGTAGATCCACATAATTAACATTCACAGCTGTAGTTCCACATAATTAACATTCACAGCAGTAGATCCACATAACTAACATTCACAGCTGTAGATCCACATAACTAACACTCACAGCAGTAGATCCACATAACTAACATTCACAGCTGTAGATCCACATAATTAACATTCACAGCTGTAGATCCACATAACTAACATTCACAGCTGTAGATCCACATAACTAACATTCACAGCTGTAGATCCACATAATTAACATTCACAGCAGTAGATCCACATAACTAACATTCACAGCAAGGTAGATCCACATAACCAACATTCACAGCTGTAGATCCACATAAGTAACATTCACAGCAGTAGATTCACATAACTAACATTCACAGCAGTAGATTCACATAACCAATATCTCACAGCAGTAGATCCACATAACTAACATTCACAGCAGTAGATCCACATAACTAACATTCACAGCAGTAGATCCACATAACTAACATTCACAGCAGTAGATCCACATAACTAACATTCACAGCAGTAGATCCACATAACTAACATTCACAGCCACATTCGGTCACATTCACCCTGGACAGCGCGTTAGAGGAAGAATTAACTGTACACTGGAAATAGTTAGATTCGCTTTGCTTCTGTTGCTCTGTCCGCCATCTTGTCTTTGCCCGTGTCCTCTTGTACGTGTGTATGTATGTATGTATGTATGTATATGTGTGTGTTTCGTTGTGTGCGCGTGCGTGTGTGTGTGTCTATGTATGTGCAAAAGAGCGATAGAGAGAGAGAGAGAGAGAGAGAGAGAGAGAGAGAGAGAGAGAGAGAGAGAGAGAGAGAGAGAGAGAGAGAGATAACTACAAGTCCAGGGATAATAGTACCCACGTTTGCTTGCCTGTGTGTGTGTGTGTGTGTGTGTGTGTGTGTGTGTGTGTGTTCTCCTTATTAACATTATCACTAACAAATACCTTTTCAGCAACTCTCCTAATGTCTCACTTAACTTCACTACTAACTGTACAGAATCTTCACACTTGACTGTATGTGCCACTTTATATCAACAAGCATATTGTCAGACAAACTCTCTATCGCTATTTATTACA